CAGACACAGACCCACACACACATATATATATATATATGTAAATACTAATATATATATATATATATATATATTAGTATATATTAATATATATTAATATATATATATATATATATATATATTACATATATTATATATAATATATATTAATTAATATATATTAATATATATTAATATATATTAATATATATTAATATATATTAATATATATTAATATATATATATATATATATATATATATTAATATATACATATTTATACACACGCACACTACAGAGAGACACTGAGACAGAGCCCCACACACACAAAAGAAAGAAACATGCGCATGCACTGGCACTTGATGGGCACTCCTACGGGGGGGGCTGGGTCGGGTGCCCTGAAACTAACGGGTTCGGGAAACCAGGGATTTAAGGCTTTAAAGAGGGAACCATGCAGCACACATTTTTGCTCAGGAACTCGCCCCTCGTTCAGACGGAATTAAAAAGCCAGGCAAATCACTCCACCACTCAAGAACGGCCGTGGCCAGGAAAGGCAGCCATTGTCATGTCTCGTTCGTTAACGGAAATCAGACAAATCACTCCACCACTCCAGAACGGCCACAGCCAAGCCTGCAGGCCTATGCCGGTCTCGTTCGTTCACAAAATCGACCAGACAAATCACTCCACCAGGCTAAGAACGGCCCATGCCCAATCACTGATCGTCCTTCTTCGTCTTCTTGTTCGTCTTCACACGATCGGCCTTGGGCTTGTCGTCCTTCTTCTCTTTCTTCTTCTTCTCGCTCGCCGCCGGCTCGTACTGCCCTCGGAACTCGGAGAGGCCGACTGTATCAAGGAACCTGGTGATCTCGTTCCGCGAGTGAGCTATGTCCTCGTCCTCATCTGTCGTGTCGAAACTCGCCTCTTCCAGGATCTCGGTCCGGCGCTTCCGCTTGGAGATGCGGATCATGAGCTTAATCAAGCCCTTTTTCTCAGAGCTCGTGAGGGACATGGCTGCAACGACGAGAAGGCTACAGCTGCAGAGTGATGAGTGAGTGATGAGTGAGTGAGTGAGTGAGGGAGTGGCCAGTGACTCAGAGCCGTGCATGTATGTAAGTAGTGACATGTGTGTGTGTGTGTGTCTGTTATGTGCGTGTGCACGTGTGTATTTGTCTACATATGTGACATGTGCCCATGGCCTGCACGACCAATGCCGAATTATTCCCTCAGCCTTGAGCAAATCACACAGCCGAAGGATTCACCACAGCACGAGGCAAAATGCCAAACCCACAACAAGCCCTCGGTCAGGAGTCCTTCAGAGCGGCCATGGCGCAGAAGTCCACGAAGATCGCCCGACCAACTCAGTAGGAAATGGGCAGAAAGCATCCAGTTCAAACATGCAGCAATCCCAACATGTCGGAGTGGGAGTGACCCTTCCTGAATCCTGAACTTGAGTAGCCCGCCTAAGTCTTATCAATCAAACCCAAGCCCCGGGCTGTTGAGCCATCCTCCGATGGCCATTGGATCCTGACCTGGGCAAGCAAAGGAGGAGGGTGGCCCGGAGGCAAGGCCAAGGCACAGGACATTGGCAGGGCCGAAGATAAAGGGAGGGCACAACGAAGGGACGAAAAGATCTCTCGAACTTTCAGCCCCTAAACCAAGGAAATCAAGTCAGGAGCTCGGTCCCCGGCCCGGCCATGACGAAATCGAGGCCATCACCTTCAATCGAAATGCAACAGACGATAGCTTCGTGGGTGCTAGAGCTCATGCAGTTTTTCAATTCCAGAACCGATACCGTGTAGTTCAGTGAGAACCCCCGGCCTCCACCACCAAGCCGACTCCATATGGTGCCAGCCATCGAAACTTCATTGAAATTTATTGGTCGGTTGCTGGTGCAAATACAGCTCAGCCCCAGCAGTTACTTACATTGTGCATTCAAGATTGACACATGAGAACTTGGACCGCAAGTGCTAGCCTGCTTGTGTGAAGACTTCTCCCGTGGCATGCAGCAGCACTCCCTCACGTGAATGACATGATCACAGACCGCAAAGCACGTTCTAGAGGCAATTGGTTTACCCGGTTTTGCATTTCAACACGATTATCGCCCTAAGCTGCACCTTTCCTCAGAGCTCGGAAAGACCGAAACTACAAGGATCAGCAGGTGCCTATGTCAAGGCATAGAAATATATTATATGTGGAGTGGAATCGGAAAGAGAATGAAAGAGAGAGAGAGAGAGAGAGAGAGAGAGAGGAAAGAAAGACCTCCGTCCACTGCAGCACATGAAAACTTGCAGCAACTTGCACAGCTCGATCGGTCGAACTTCTCCCAATTGCATTGGACTGACCGCCCCGAAGCTGAGAGAACTTGCAAGCCTTCAACGTTGAAGGTTTTAAAGTCTTCGAGTTGTTCACACTTAATATAACATGCTCTTCCGAAAAAGGTTAGGGCGAATAGGGTTTTTTCAATCAGGGGTTTCCCGCATAATCACGCAAGCACAAAGATGGTCGGTGATTCTCGCATCACGAGCAAAAGCATGAGGTCAGCATCCAATGGCATCTGTCGGTCCTACTCCCATATCTTAGCAAGCCATTCGAAACTTCATTGTTTCTTGTGGTGAGCACGCTACTCCCGGGTGACTTGATTGAATGGCCAGTCATCCGAGCTGACAAGGCTACAACAGCCGAGGTCTTCATAAGACCCGTCAAATTCAGGGACCTTTGGAACAGACCATAGCCTGGCGCCTTTGCGCATGCATTTATCAGCCGTCATTCAAGAAGATATAAGACCACCCTATCGCAATTGAGAAGACACGCAGATTTGGGAAGACCCGCAAACCCCCGCCGAATGCGGAGACAGGCCCTGAAAACTCGCATGGAGAAATGCCGCGGTGAGCATTCGCCATCGCCATCGCCATTCCAAAGCATGCCACACGGTGTGGGCTCATGCCTCCTCTCGCCATTTGGGGGTTTCCGAAAATTAGGGCTACCTTATTTGGGGGCCCTTATAATAAGGATCCTAATATTTAGGGTACTATATTAGGGTCCCCTATTTTCGGAAACTCCCATTTTACGATCTATCCGAGCCTGGATTTGAATCCAAAGGGTGCAGCGCACCAGAAACGGTAACCAGGTAGTGTAGTGCATAGTCCTGACGATACCGGGGTTTACTCTAGGGGCTTTAATAATTACCTATATACACTTTTTCGGGTGTTCCTTATCGTATTTCTAATTAGTATAATGGGCCCCAAAACCCAATTAATTCTAAACTCTTTTAAAGGACCCTTTGAAAGGACCCCTTTAAGGGAACCCTGGTTTCCGGGATTGACGCCGTAGCCTGCTTGGAGGATCATGGGACTTAGCAATTAGGGTTATTAATAAGGTAACTATACTTATAATTCCAATTAGGGTACTTATAACCTTACTTACTAAGTCTCATGATCCTCGGAGTAGTACCCTAAACCCTAAACCCTAAGGAACCCTTTAAGGAACGCTAAGGATCCCTTTAAGGAACCCTTTAAGGAACCCTAAACCCTAGAACCCCCCAAAACCCCAAGTCCCATGATCCTTGAAGTGGGGCTCGCCCCTCCAGGAGGTTCAGATCCTCACGAGCCGAACGGACAAGACCGAAGTGCAGCTGCAGGTGCCGCTGTTGGTGACGATTTAGGGTTTACGGCTTAGGGTTTAAGGGTTTAGGGGTTTAGGGGTTAGGGTTTAGGGCCTAGGGCTTGGGGTTTAGGGCTTAGGGCTTAGGGTTTAGGGGTTTAGGGCTTCGGGTTTAGAGTCTCTAAATTGGATACTGCCCCCACTCAGCAGCAGTCGGATACTATTCATGATGTAGATATTAGGACCTTCATGGCAGCCCTATTATGGATTGTTAGCTGCATGGGGGCAGTACCCAATCTCTAAACCTAAACCCCTAAACCCCTAAACCCTAAACCCCTAAACCCCTAAACCCTAAACCCGTAAACCCTAAACCCCTAAACCCCTAAACCCCTAAACCCCTAAACCCCTAAACCCCTAAACCCCTAAACCCCTAAACCCCAACCTTCCTTGACCCGGAGCCCCACGTAGACAGGTCAGTCTGTATGTCGCATGAACAGACTTGGGAGTTTCCGAAAGTTAGGGGTACCTTAGCGTTCTTTTCGTACTATAAGGGTCCCTTCAAAGGGCTCTATAAGGGTTTAGAGTTTCCGAAAATTAGGGGTACCTTATTTGCGGGGTCCTTATCATAAGGATCCTAGTATTTAGTGTCCTACATCAGGATCCCCCATTTTCGGAGACCCCCACTTGGGGTGCTAGGACCTAGAGTAGGCCCTTATTGGCCTTTTTCAGGGTTCAGGTTCCCTTATAAGCCCCTTGGAACCAAGAAGGGCATCCTTTTTGTTCTTGGGCTACTCTTGGGTCTAGGGTGTAAGGGTATATCTGTACTTGTAACCCACTGACTGTCCCCTGATCGTTTAAGTACTAGTACTCGGGGTGTCGGGGGACTTAGTGAGTAGTTGTTGTATGTACTTATACGTCCCATAATCACAATTAGGATACCTTGTAGGGGGTATTCATAAGTCGTTTACTTATTACTTGGAGCATCATGGAACTTAGTATCTAGGGTTATAAATCAGGTAACTATACCTATAACTCCAAATAGGGTACTTATAATCTTACTTACTAAGTCCCATGATCCTCCAAGAACCTTTTACAAAGTCCCCCGAACGTCTATTTCTCGTCCCATGGAGGCCTCGGTGAATGCTATCTTGGCCCAGCTGAGCTCCGTCCAGCTCTCGCAGCAGGCGATTTAGGGTTTCGGATGTAGGGTTCGGAAAGCATCAATGCCAGGACTTGGTGAGACGACTGGTAGCTATGTCACGCCCCCCTAAGCCCTAAACCCTAATCATCAGTGTTTGCCTTTCCAACATCTACATGCCACGGTGAAGGACTCAGTAGAGTCCTGCAGCCTTTGGCATGTTCTCTGCTGCTGACAGCTTCTCGGCGCACTGATCAGAGGAACCCGGCAACTGGCTCGGTGGCGCCATGCCCATCCTCCATCGACTGCTGACAAGTACTACTGGCTCAGACGAGGAAGTAGAGAGGTTGCGCGAGGCGTTCAACAATATCTTCACGACCATTGGCGTCGTGGCGGCGTTGCTGTTGACCATGGACCAGACGGGAGAGTCGATCGACGATGACGCATCTGACTGGATCGACTGTGGTGAAGTCCCCTGCAACGATGTTCACGTGGTTCTGGCTTGGCTTTCTCTGAGTGCCTGCGCCCATGCGGTGATGTATACCACTTGTGCCATGGTGTGGCTGTCCGTCGTGCCTGTGTCAGCCACCAGGGACTTCTTCCACCGATTCCCAAACATCATGTTGCTACCGGGGCTGTCGATGATCTTGGGCTGCACTTGTTGGGCTCTGGATGCCCTCTGGCTGACGACCATCAGGCATGGCGCCAACCTGAAGTGGTGCCGTGGCTGTCATATCTAGTGAATCTAGTGGCTTCATTCTACCGAGGGCCAGATGGTATTTAGTGGGGAAAACTGAGGAATCGAGATGTTTGCAAGATAGCTTAAAATCATAAATTGAAGCGCGTTGTTTCTGTGTTTCGCTTGCTTCGGCTTTCGAAATGCTGAGGCTGTGGCTGGCTATCCCGGCCATGGTGGTCTTCTTGCACGTGATCATCACTTGCCTTCAGATGCGTCACTTCGCCTGGAATTGCAAACTCGATGAGGTCAAGAACGACACTGCAAACCATCTCTAGCCGAACTTGACATCGAGGCAGCATGGAATGGGTCGGCCAGCCCTTGAGATTGATGCAGGCTGAAGCGAGTCTTACACGTAGGAAAGCGCCGGCCTTTTTGGCTCCGAAGTGTAATTTATGCAATCTTATGACAACGAGTCTGATGATGATCCGTGGCGAAGCCGCATGGGAGTTCAGAACACAGGAGACCCTAATATAGAACCCTTAGTAGGATCCTTGATGCCTAAACCCCAAACCCTCGGTAGTAGGATCCTTGTTGCAAGGATCCCGAAAGAAGCTAAACACCAATCCCAAAGCTTCCCTGAAGCCTAAACCCTGCTAGTGCATTGTAGTATATCGTGGTGTGTATTATAGTGTCTATTCGCTTATGTAGTAGTACATTGTTATAAACCCCCTATACCCTAAACCCTAAACCCTAAACCCTAAACCCTAAACCCTAAACCCTAAACCCTAAACCCGAAACCCTAAACCCTAAACCCTAAACCGGCACCGAAATTTCTGAAACTCCCATCTCCCATCTCTTTCCAGACTCCGAGCCTTGCTGGGGGGGGGCCTAAATGATTACCAAGACTCTTTTGGGCTTTCCCTTACCTTTGGTTAGTAGGGAATGGAAGAATGGTAGTAATAGTCGTTATAACTGTATCCCATTCCTCCATTCCCTACTAACCAAAGGTAAGTTCCTTATCAGACTGTTGATGATATAAATCCTGCATTACCTTAAGGACCCCTAAACTATGGGAATTATGGTATATTCCTTATTATGGGCCATGCAGGATGTATATCATCAACCGTAGTTATAGATACAGTATCCAGGAGGCCCAGAACTCTACTCGAATTATTACGGCCCCTACCATGCTAGAGCCCTACTATAGATCCCTTATAGCCCCCTCTACTTGGAGGATCATGGGACTTAGTAACTAGGGTTATAAATTAGGTAACTATACTTATAACTCCACTTAGGGTACTTATAACCTTACTTACTAAGTCGCATGATCCTCCAAGTAAGGTTACCCCTTTAGAGGAACCCTAGTATAGACCCCGTTTAAAGGAACCCCTCATTCTAATTATTACGGCCCCTGCATCGCTGTGATTACTTCGCCAGGGAAAGACCCCAAGGGTCGGACCAGACCGGATGCGAAGATCGCCAGCTCAAACACCGAAGCCCCAAACCCTAAACCCCTAAACCCCCTAAAACCCCTAAACCCTAAACCCTAAATAAACTCGGGATGCATAACATGGGGGCTTGACTTTAAGGATCTATAATCGTTCCTTTAATGGGATCTATAAGGGTTCCCTACAGGTACAGCGGGCTAAACAATTACCAATACTGTTCCGTATCATGCTAATGGTATACAATACCCAAAGCCCTTTTCTAAATATTAAGGCTCCTTTAGTAAGGGTGTTGTGTGGGGCAAGGTTTTACATGAGATTACAGCGGTTCTAACTGCATGGAGTATAAAAGGGCTTACAAGGGGTTTACACTGGCTTCACATGAAGAAGTGACTTCACCAATTCCAAGTTATTCTTCGAATCATACAGAATTCATGTTGACATCTTTGCTGAGGCCGCTTAGGGCCTACTACCCTTTCAGGCTGGAGAGGGAAGCAAGAAGCAGTTCGATCATCCAGGAACACACAAGAAGACAGATGTCGGGCAGAAATAAGTACATGGGACATGAACAAGAAATAATAACATTTGATAAAGCAAGCACGCAGAACTTGGAGACAGCGACACGGACAAAACTGTTTCAACAGGAAAGGTATGCTACCAAGACAAAGAGAGGAATTACCAGTTGAGGTAGGTATATGTTAGAAAGGCGCTTAGAAGAAACAGCATAAAAACCAGCAGCAGTTGATATGACAGGCAGTTGATGGTGACTTGAACTATCGGAGTAGAGAAAGTCTACAAATAACCTAAACCCTAATCCTTTAACCCTAAACTCTTAAACCCTCAAAGCCTTAAACCCTCACGCCCGTAAACCCTTAAAGCCTTAAGCCCTAAACCCTAAACCCCAAAGCCCCTAAAGCGAGTTGGAGGTGGCTCCTACTGCCCTCGGCATGGTTCACGGGGCTCATGCGCTCCCACTTCCCTCGTGCGCGCCTCAGAGGGCTCCATCCGGTAGTGGAAGTCGTCAGGTGTAGGTGTTTAAGGGTTTAGGGGTTTAGGGTATTGGGGTTTAGGAGCTTCGGGTTTAGGGTTTGGAAATTTAGGGATTTAGGGTCTGGAAGTATAGGGTTTAGAGGTTTAGGGGTTTAGGGTTTAGGGGTGGAAGTCCTCAGCCGAGGCCCCGAGAAGAAGGCCTTTTTTTGAGGACTTATAGAAAGACGGGCCCTAAGAAGGAGACCTTTTTAAGAGGACTGATATACAGATGGGCCTCAGGAAGGAGACGTTTTATCAGGACTTATACAGAGATGGGACCCAAGAAGTAGCTTTTTTCGGACTCATACAGGGAAGTCACAAGATGGAACCCCGAAAAAGCTAGTTACTTTGCATTTAAAGTCAGCCCTAAACCCAAAGTAGCCAAATCAACGCCCATAGAAAGCCTTATTGGGAGCCTCCTCGTGGAGAAGGGGGGTAAGGGTGGCAAACGAACGCAAAAGCTTTTGTTTCCAAATATTTTCGAAGGATTAGGTGGAGGGTACCTGAGGTAACCCCCCAGACGCCTGTGTGGCCTTGGCGGAGGGGGACAACCCTAAAGCCTCCCCAAACATGAGCCCTACGATCCCCAACCTAAGGGGGGGGGGCAGGGACCTGGGAGGGGGGGGGGGGCAAGGGAAGCCGGACAAGGGGGGCAAACGAACGCAAGGCCTCGGCGGATTAAGGGGTATTGGGCCTTCAACCCTAAAGCCTAACCGCAAGATCCCCCTAAGATCCCCAACTTACCCTAAACCCTAAACCCTACCGTTATAGATCCCTTAGAGATGCCTTAAAGGAACCCCTCACTTGGAGGATCATGGGACTTAGTAAGTAAGGTTATAAGTACCCAAATTGGAGTTATAAGTATAGTTACCTTATTTATAACCCTAGTTGCTAAGTCCCATGATCCTCCAAGTAGACCCTAAACCCTAAATCCCTGTAGATCCCTTATAGAACCCTTTACAAGGAGCCCCGTAAAGAACCCTTTAAGGAACCCTAAGTCCCATGATCCTCCAAGTTTTAAGGACCTCTCAAATGCCCTCCTGCTCCCCAGAGAGCCCAATACCCTTTAATTGAGGAAAATACCTTAAATAATAAGGGAATTCATATTATGATTTAGGCTAACCCTAGGTTTAAGGTATATTCCTTAATCAAGAGGCATTGGGCTCTCTGGGTCAAAAGCCGTGGACCCCTAAACCACCAAACCGACGATCAAACCTCCTCAAAGCCCCAAACCCCTAAACCCTAAAAGCCCTGAACCCCTAAACCGACGATGGGTCTACTTGGAGAACCATGGGGGTTAGACTAGGGTTATAAATGGGGTAACTATACTTGTAACTCCAATGAGGATACTTATACTTATGACCCTACTTACTAAGTCCCATGATCCTCCAAGTAGCCTCGCCCCGGGGCTGAGGCCGAGACGCTTCCACGGCGAGGGATCCCTCCCGACGCTCCCCCCGGCCTTTCAGGACTGCTTTTCGGATGTAGGGTATAGGGTTTAGGGGTTCCTTGAAGGGCTCTATAAGGGATCTATAGTAGGGCATCCCGTTAAAGGGTTCCTTAAAGCGCTTTACAAGGGATCTATAGTAGGGCTCTATGTTATTTAGATCTTGAAAGGGCCTTTCAGGACGGCTTTTAGGGATCTCTTTGAAGGGTTCCTTAAAGGCAAGGGTTACAAGAAGAAACTCCCAAGACGGGGACCCCTTTTAGGAGAGGACTGCTGCTTGAAAGAGAACATATGTTGTGAATCATTCCGGTCGGCTACCCAGCGGTAACCAAGCTTGGGAGGGCCGAAGCCACCTAAACCTCTGCGCCCTAAAGTCCTGAGGCCCCCCAACCCCAAGCCGTAAGTGAACCTTGCCGGGGAGCTTTGCTGCAGACCCTCGGCTGAAACCCAACCGATTCTATGGCAATGGCCGAAGTGCAGGAGAATCGGCTAATACACTGTCACCACGAGGCCAGCTGTGAAATTGATGGAAGAGCCAGCATCAATGATCTTGGCCCCACTTGCTCTCTGGGCCTTTTATGGCTCGAAGACGACAACTCCAGCTAAGCGGCATCCATATGTCCATGCTCTAAGGCCTTAAGCATCCTTACACCCCAACCCCGAAATCCCAAATTCTACCTAAACCCTCTAGCTGAGGCCCCCGAAGGGTTGCTAGCTGCTAGTTCATCATACTGCTGGCTCGGGGTCCCTCGCCCACTTGTGCCCATTGGGGTTTAGGGTTTAGGGTTTAGGGTTTCAAGACAGAAGAAACGAGCCCACAAGAAACACCAGACTGATCCCTAAACCTGCAAAACCAAATCCTAGTCTGTCTTCGGACCTTCGGCACGAGTCAACCACCCGCTGTGGCCCAGCAGCCTAAAGCCTTAAACAACCTATAGCCCCGACACATCATAACCCCTAAAACCTACGCCCCTATACACCCTACAAGCCTCCAATACCCCTCACCCTAAACCCCAGACCCTATACCCTAAACCCTAAACCCTAAACCCTACTCTTCCACTCACCCTAAACCCCTTAAGCCCCCAGACCCCAAATCCCCAATCCTTTTCGCCCCGAAATCCCTTAAAGCCTCCAAACCTGAGCCGGAGCCATGCGGAATCTTCTGCACACCTGCCGGTCCGCCAAGGTTGGGACGAACTTTTGCAGAGAGCCATCCGAAGCCAGCCGAAATTCAGGGTTTAGGGTTTACGGACTATAGGGTGTAGGCATTGAGGATGGGGATTAGGGTTTAGGGTTGAGGGTTGAGGGATATTACAATTCGAGAAAAACGCAGGTGATCCAATGATCTTGTCGGTCTGTCCAGTACTTCTGCGGCACTGCACTAGTTTCGAGCCTCCGTGTGAGCTGCAGCGGCAGCTCGCAGTTTCCAGTGTGGAGCCTTAAACATAGAACTCTAACCCTAAACGTCACGATGCAGAGGTGGCCACTTCTTGCCCTTTTCGATCTGCTTTGTTTCTGGTTTCCGGGCAGGTCTCCTGGCACTTGGGCTTGCAGCTTCGCGCTGTGGCAACGCAGGTGCGAGCCAGATTCTTCTAAGCCCTAGACCCTAAACCCGAAAGCTCAAACTTTGAAGAACGAAGCGTAAACTCTAAATCCTCGTCGCATATGCTTGGCGGGCCAGCAGCCACTTCAACAGAAATACGCATGCCTCGGTGATCGTGGACAGTGCAAGCATCATCAACCCAGAGACTCCAAAGCTAATTCAGGAACATGCTTTAAATCGTAGTCGGAATCCGATGATAAGTTACGCTATTTTACTTAATGAAGCGATTTTGGAGTGCTGTGAAAGTTGGTGGGCCCTGAATCCTATGAGCCCTAAACCTTAAACCCTGAACCTCAAAGAGGAAGTTGTCGCGTAGACAACTTCTGCAACCCAAAACCCCTGACCCCACAACCCTGACCCCAAGTCTGAACCCGAAACCCCTTACAGGGAACTCCAGAAAGTTGGGATACGGTTTCATGGTAGGATACCCTATAATTTACCATAGAAGGGTTAGGATAATCATATTCCAACTTTCTGGCTTTTACCTTATAGTTTGTAACCCTTACAATTAAAATATAAGGTCCCGAATGGTAACCCTGAAAGGAAGTCTAAATCCCATACTCTTTTCCCTCCCAGACCCCCGGGAGGATCCAAAAAGTAGATCCCTTAATGGGGGTTCCGATAAAGTACCCCTGTTAGTATAGGGCCTCTTATAGATCCCTAAACCCTAAACCCTAAAGGATCCCTTAAAGGAGCCCTTTAAAGAACCCTACTAAGTTCCATGATCCTCCCAAAGGGGGCCCCAAATTAGGGGATCTACTTTCTAGATCCATAGTCATATGCCCAAAGACTCCTATAGCCCTTAGCTAAGGAATGCCTAGGGTTCCTTTTGATCTACTTTCCCTTACAGATCCCTAAACCCTAAACCCTAAAGGATCCCATAAAGGAGCCCTTTAAGGCCCCCCAAATCCGGGGATCTACTTTCTAGATCTTTGCTAGACCCTAAACCCTATACCCCTAAACCCTAAACCCCTAAACCCGAAACCCCTAAAACCCCTAAACCCTTAGATCCCTTTAAAGGATCCTCCCTAAACCCTAAACCCTAAAGGATCCCATAAAGGATCCCATACAGGAGCCCTTTAAGGAACCCTACTAGGGCCCTAGACATTGTGCTGCTACTTTTTATGTGCATTGCCCAAATTAGGGGGTCTACTTTCTAGATCCTCCCATACCCCTAAACCCTTAGATCCCTTTAAAGGATCCTCCCCTAAACCCTAAAGGATCCCATAAAGGAGCCCTTTAAGGAACCCTTCTAGGGCCCCAAATCCTCCCGGGGGTCTGGGCTGAGAGTTGGCCTTAATCATAGGGATCCTTAGGGGTGTAGGGGGAGGGAGGGTAGGGGGCCTTAAGGCCCATAATAAGGACTAATAAGGCCTATTTAAGGAAATATAGTCCCCATACACCCCTCCCCCCTACACCCCTAAGGATCCCTATGACTTAAGTCGGCCTTAACCCAGACCCCTGGGAGGATCCAAAAAGTAGATCCCTTAATGGGGGTTCCTATAAAGTACCCTGAGTAGTATAGGGCCCCAAATTAAGGGATCTACTTTCTAGATCCTTCCGGGGGTTTGGGAAGTCGACTTCGAGGCATTCCTCGCCGCCATAAGCGAGTCAGAGCTGAAGGAGCCGGCGTAGGGTTTAGGGTTTAAGGGTTTAGGGGTTTAGGGTTTAAGGGTTGAGGGTTTAAGGGTTTAGGGTTGAGGGTCTAAGGGTTTAAGGGTTTAAGGGTTTAGGGTTGAGGGTTTAGGGCAAGGGCTTCAGGTTCAGAGGTTTGGGGTCTACTGTAGGGGCCTTTGTTGCAGAATGCGGGTTGGGGGATATTACTGTGTCATTATATCAGTATTGCTGTCATTATCATCATGTTAATTATTCTTGTAGAGGCTAGAACAGGATGAGCAAGTTCAGGGTTCAATGAAGTATTGAAATACTCCCATCCCTCACTCAAGCTCCACGCCCCAGGCGCTTAACCCTATCGACAAGCACAGAAACCCTTATCCGTAAACCCGAAGAGCCTAAACCCTAAGCCCCAAGCACTAAACCCGAACCATCACCAACCCCATCCGCTGTCGCTCAACGCGAGGACCTGGCAGTTAGCTCGAAACCGGTGCTCCTGCACTGCGGAGCTGACTGGAGCAAGAGTTGCTTGGAATCATGGGACTTAGTAACTGTGAGGGATCTGCAGGGGTTCACTTGGAGGATCATGGGACTTAGTAAGTAGGGTTATAAATAAGGCAACTACAAACATAATTACTTATAATTCCAATTAGGGTACTGGTAGCCTGATTTGCTAGCTCCCATGATCCCCAGCGTAGAGGTTAGGGTCTGCTTGACATAGTGTCGGAACCTGATTCAGAAACCCTGGCCCTATAATCCCTATAACACCAAAATACTCGGACCCATATACAGAGCCCTAACAAAGACCCAATGTTTCTGATCAGGTGCCTACGTTGAGCCAGAACCCCTAAAGCCTTTTTACAGTCCCACGCTCGAAAACCCTCCAGCACGCAAACCCACACCCTGCAGCACGAAATCCCAAACAACCCTACTGTGGCCCAAAAAACCCACTTTTGCAAGGACTTCCATCAGGAGCTCATAACAGGGAACCCCGAAAGGTAGGTTTTGCAGGCTCCAGGTAGTCCTGCTTGGAAGATGCATGGGGCCGAAGTGCCCCTCTGCGCAACTCAAAGTCACCTAGATTTAGGGGCCTTAATAGTTACCTATACTATTTTTGGGGTTTCCTTATGGTCATTCTAGTTTCATATACCCCAAACTCTATTCTAATTATTAAGGGGCCTGGGCCCGTATATTGGATCTAGGATTGCGGGTTTAGGGTTGATCTGCAAGCCAAGGAAGCAAAGAGGTCGCCATCGCCCTCGCTGACTGGGCTTCGAATGCCCAAGGCTGGTGGTTTTGGCAGGTGTTCACGCGCTTTCTGTTAAACAGGTTGTTGGGTTTCTGTAGGTCCTGCTTGAGGGTTTCTTGTGATTTTCTAGAGGTCGTTTGGAGGCCTTTCCATAGGGTTTTTGCTTGTCTTTCGAGGGTGTTTCAGGCGTTTAGATTGGGTTTGGTCGTGTTGCTGGTGATTTGTTTGCAGGGGCTTTTGAGGGCTCTTAAAGCAGCTTGTCTCAAATTCTTACAGGTGCTTCTTGCGAGTTTTCTCGGATGATGCCTCGTGGCAGTTTGGATGTGTTGGGGCTTCTGGGTGAGGCTTCCGAGTTTTGCGCGCAGGGATTTTTGGAGGCCCCAGGCTCCAAATAAGCAGGATTCTCACAGAATGCTTGTAACACTTTGAAGATTCTGATCATGATTAGCATTGTGAGTAGTCTTAGTAATTATTGTTTAGAGGTAGTGTTGCTATGAAGAGATCCCGAAAGTCCACCAAAACCCCACACCCTGCCAGCTCAAAGCTCTCCTCCCTGGGAGGAATCCGTTGCGGTAGCTTGGACTTCATGCGAGGGAAAAAGCCTAAACCCTAAACATCAATAAACCCTGTACCCTAAACCCCTAAACCCTAAACTTCAGGTAGCCTGGTCTGCCGTACTCTGGATGTGGGCAGCTCGCCGGAGGTGGTGAAAACGCGCCACATCAAGGCGTTGGCCGGGGTAAATGGGGCTCTACAAGGGTTCTGTCACAGTTCCATAAAGGTTCTATCATAATTCCATAAAGATTCTATCAGAATCCCATAAAGGCTTCTGTATAGGGTGGTTCTATACCGGCTTTTTAAGGTTTCTGCATACGTTCTGCGAAGCCCTGTAAGGTTTCTTCAAGAGCTCTATTAGGGTCCAGGGTCCAGGGCTCTACGGTTCTATAAGCTTTTGTTCTGAGGATTGGCAACTTACACTGTCAATCTTGCAAGAAGCGGTTGTGCTAGCGCAGGACCCTAATATAGTACCAAAATAGTAGGATCCTTATACCCCAATTTTAGGAGACTCCCAAATCCCTGATGAAGAAATCCTTGACCACCGATGTAGCCTACGACCCTAGAGCCCCAAACCCGCACATGTTATGGACCCCATACTACGCACCCCTAAACCCCAAGTCTTGCACCCCGAAGCCTGAACCCGAGACATGAGGATTCATGTCAGCAGACTACTGTTGATGATAGAAATCCTGCATTACCTTACGGGCCATAAACTATGGGAATAATGGCATATTCCTTTTTTTATGGGTAATGCAGGATTTATATCATCAACCGTATGCATAATCATGGCCTCCTTCAGCAGGTTTCGGCAACAGCCGGCTTTAGATCTTCCTGCCTTGTAGTCTTCGGGGCCTGAAGGACTCGAAAAGGGCTTGGGGGGTTGTTCAAAGGGTTTCTGTATTCAGGGCTTTGGGGTTTTGGGTGTTGGGTCTACTATAGAGGCCGAGGATACCATGTACAACGCTTACATAGGCATCCAAAAGGGACTACAGGGGATGTTTTTTGGCAACTATTTCCAACCCCGGCGTTCGCCCAACGTGGCAAGCTCCCTTACAGAAGCCCAATAGAACCTTCATAGAGCCCTTATAGAATCCATTGCAGGGGCTGCCCACGCTTCTGCTGCTTACAAGGGGTCGGACCTTTGCCCGCGCTGATGGCGCTAGCGTGGAGGTGGCTCGACTGTACTTTTCAGTGTTTTGTAGGGTTTAAGGGTTGTGTTAAAGGAACACTTAGCAGTACCCTGAAAGGAACCCATATTACATAGCACATATTCTCTGATCTGTATTTAATATGTAGTATATCTATATATAACTGTATGTTACAATTGTAGTTTAGTTGTTGATTTTGCTATTGGGGCCTTTGCGACTGAAGGTTTCGGATTTGGCGTTGGGGTTCAGGATAGCCAGAGTAAACCCTAAACCCCGAAGCCTTACTTAAAGGGATCTATAAGGGATCTATGGGGATCGAGAAGGGATCTAACAGGGATTAGGGGATCTATAAGGGATCTATGGGCATCTACAAGGGGTCTATAAGGGATCTATAGGGATTTCGGTTTCGGGGTTTAGGGCCTACAGTAGAAGCCTAAAAGTTGGAAACCCAATAGCCTCATTCCTTGAGAGTAATGTTTCGGGAATCCCAGCACTATTTGGCCTTAATCCGGTTTCCAACTTTTTGGGGCTTACTATACTTGGAGGATCATGGGACTTAGTAGCTCAGGCTAGACATAAGGTAATCCTACGTGTAATTAAATTATATAGCACAAAACCCCTAGTCAAGGTACTTATGACCTTACATACCAAGTCCCATGAACCTCCAAGTAAACCGTTGAAGCCCAAACCCTGAATCCCTATAGAGCCCTTACAGATCCCTTTAAGGAACTCTTTACGGAACCCTTTGAGCTACTAAATCCCATCCTAAATCCCTATAGATCCCTCATAGATCCCTTTCAGGAGCCCTTTAAGGAGCCCTTTAAGGAGCCCAAAAAGGTACCCTAAAGCCCAAGAGCCTAACCTGCCAAGGACTTGCATCGGATCCTGAGCCTCGCCATGCCTCTCCTAGACACCACAGAGGAGGCACCCCACTCGAAGCATGAAGCTGGCTTGCGGATTGCTTCTAGGGATGTTCTGGTTTTGTTAACGACACCAAACCCGAAAGCCCAAACCCTGAAGCCCCAAAACCCTAAACCCTAAAACCCTAAGCCCCAACACCTCAAGCCTTACACCCCACACCCAAAGCCCCAAAGCGCCGAGCTGCAACCGTTGCCAGGAGAGCCTCAGCCGTGAGCAGGCCCTCCAAGCTGCAGAGGACTGAAGCGTGGAGTCCCTGCTTGGAGGGTCGGGGGACTTAGTAAGTAGGTGCTCGTTTTTAAAGGGGATTGTAAGGGTTCCTTTAAAGGGCTCTATCGGGGTACTATAGGGTTTAGGGTTTAGGGTTCAGGGACTTAGTAAGTAGGTAGTAAGTAGACGTATAAGTACCCCTAAAAGGGACCCTAATTGGGGTTATGGTACTTATAAGTCCCTAAAATAAGCAGTTACTAAGTCCCCCGACCCTCCAAGTGGCACTACCCAGACCACCAGGTAGAAAGTACGGTTGATGATATAAATCCTGCACTACCCATAATAAGGAATATACCATAATTCCTATAGTTTAGGGTCCTTAAGGTAATGCAGGATTTCTATCATCAACAGTAGAACCACCCTTTTGGGACCCTATACTACTAAGGGTACTTGATAAGAACCCCCATCAAGGGATCTACTTTCTACATCCTCCCGGTGGTCTGGGGAAACCATTATATTTCTGCTTACGATTGTGATTCTGAATCTGATATGATTATGATGAGCCCTAAATAAACCCTAAAACCTAAACCCTAAACCTTAAAACCTAAACCCTAAACCGTGTTATGATGAGTACTCTTGTGGAGCGCTTCGCCTGTGCTGGCCTTCAGCTGCGCCCATCTCGACTGAAGGAGACACTCGCACGGTCTGTCGGGACTGAAGGCGCACTGCTTTTGGTGGTACCCAGAGAGCCCAATCCCCCTTATCAAGGAATATAGCTTAAATCATGATATGAGTCCTCTTACCATTTAAGCTATATTCCTTGATTAAGGCGTATTGGGCTCTCTGGGTAGGAGGCTGCACCACCAGACCTCGTAAGCCACCCCCCAAAAAGTCGCACAGCACTGAGCCCTAAACCCTAAACTCTTCAAGCATCCAAGCCCTAAGCCCTTTCAGCCCCTAAGCCGAATTTAAGCATCTAAACCCTAAACCCTTTAAGCCCCTAAAACCCCATAAGGTAAAAGCCAGAAAGTTGGAATATCATTATCGTAACCCCTTTAAATAGGTAAATTATAGGGTATCCTACCATGAAACCATATTCCAACTTTCTGGAGTTCCCTGTAAAGCCCCTAAACCCTATTTAAACATCTAAACCCTAAACCCTTTAAGCCCCTAAAACCCCATAAAACCCTATAAAACCCTATAAAACCCTATAAAACCCTATAAAGGCATCTAAACCCTAACACACCCGAACAGAGGCCTCGAGACGGCCGGGCGGCTTTTCAAGCGCGCCCTTGGGCCAGAGACGGCCGAAATCGAGCCGGCAGGCCATGGGCCAGGAGGGTTCCTTAAAGGATCATGGGACTTAGTAAAGGTTCTTAAAGGGCTCCTTAAAGGGAGCTGTAGGGTTCTATATAGGGATCTATCGGGTTTAGGGTTTAGAGTACCACTTGGAGGATCATGGGACTTAGTAAATGAGGTTAGAAGTACCCTAATGGGAGTTATAGGTATAGTTAATTACCTTATGCATAACCCTAGTTACAAAGTCCCATGATCCTCCAAGTACTCGCATAAGCCTAAATAAACCCGAAACACCCTGTTTAAGGGTTTAGGGTCTAGTTTAGGTTGAATCTTAATCGCCTAACTAATATAGGAGCTTAAATAGTTGCCAAGATTTTTTGGGCATCCGTATTGTGGTGTTAGTATAATAGACACCGGAACCCTATCCTAATTATTAAGGCCTCCTAGATTTTATGAACCCAAACCCTAGACGCCCTGAATTCTCGTCAGCCTTATAGTGAACCTGATAGAAGAAAAAGGCCACCAAGGAAGTAGGGAATATACCTTGAATAAAAAGGGTCTTCATATGATGATTTAAGCTATATTCCTTAATCCCCTTGTAGAGCCCCTCAAAGATCCCTTTAAAGAGCCATTTAAGGAACCCTAGGTTGAAGGTATATTCCGCCGTAGTCAAGGGGTATTGGGCTCTCTGGGCCCTGCTCGCTCCAGAGGTGCGAGCCCACGCTGGGACCATGGCTTTCGGGCCCGATGGGGCCTCGTACGAACGGCCCTACAGGTGGGACGGTTTAGGGTTTGGGGTCTAGGGGTTTAGGGCTTAAGGCTCGGATTTCTTGCTTCCCAGCCAAAATGCTGAACCCAAGAATCTACTTCAACATGTTGAAGGATCCTAAACCTTGAACCCTGAATCTGATTTACGAGAAAAGTCAGAATTTGAAAGGGGTTTTGGAGCCGCCGGAACCCTAATCTCTTATAGATAACGCTTATACTCGTGGGATCCCTGGAAGCCCAACAGTAATCCTGACAGTACCCGCGAAGAGCTCTTTTCAAGGCATACTATAGGGGCCTGGATTTTTTAGCATAGGGCACCCTTAAAGGTAAGTCTTACAGAACCCTAAACCCTAAACCCTAAAACCCTAAACCCTAAACCCTAAACCCTAAAACCCTAAACCCTAAACCCTAAACCCTAAAACCCTAAACCCTAAACCCCAAACCCCAAACCCCTTTGGGTTCAGGGAGTTTGCTTGCCGAGCCGTTGCAAGCTGAGCCCACGTGGTGAGGCCCTGGAGGCTGAGACGCCGCAGTCGGCGAGCCCGGAGGTCGGTTTTGTAGCCGTTCCCCAGGTTTGGGGTTTAGGGCTTAGGGTTCAGGGTTTAGGGCTTAGGATTTAGGGTTTTGGGTTTAGGGCTTAGGGTTTAGGGCTTAGGGTTTAGGGTTCAGGGATTAGGGCTTAGGGTTTAGGGTTTTGGGTTTAGGGCTTAGGGTTTAGGGCTTAGGGTTTAGGGTTTAGGGCTTATGTCCTAAACCCCTAAACTTCCGAAGCTCTACACGCCTAAAGCCCGCAATGCGAAACCCTAAGCCCCCAGACCCTAAACCCTTCTTCCCTTAACAGCACCCTACACCCTTAAACCTGCGCTGAGGCAGTGGCAGAGGCACCGCCGGTGGAACGGGTGGAGGCAGCCTTGTATGCTTGCTTGGCTTGCAGACCCTATGAGTATACGGTAATGTGAAGCACTTTGATGTACTGATCCGAAACATACTGCAATAAATTATTGTAGTTGGAATTATTTTACATGAATATACTATAGTACTCCATACCATACTACACCACAGCGCATCATACGATGCCACACGATATCATGCCATACCGTACCCTACCCTTCCACTATCCTACAGTGTACCATACCGTACGGTACGATACTCTTCCATTCTATATGTAGTTAGATTGAAATACCGAAGATGATATAGTGGAATACCAGTGGCTGCAATTCAATTCTGTGTTGTTTCCACTCAGGCCTTAACCTCTGCCCTGGTGGAACTGTCGAGACACCACGAAGAGGACAAGTGCCAAGGGCCCCTAATTAGTAACCATTCTTGGGCCGTATATAGCGCCCCGAAGGCTTCAAAGTATCGTTTACAGCAGCAGCCCTTGTAGTACTAGCTTGGCAACAAGAGCACTTCATTATAGTATCCCTTATCGACACTCTGACAGTAGCCTCATCCTGCTTGGGGGAAATCCTTAAACGCCCACAAGGCACCAAAGACTGACCGAAAACCACAAACAATGCCTTCAACGCACAAATCACCGCAAGTACTGAAGGCTTGAACTGTAGAGCCCTGTAATGATGGAGCCCTGTGAGAACCCTGATAGCACCCTTTGTTGCTTTGAAACGCCTAGAGAGTTCACTAATCTATACTACCCCCTAAACCCTTAACCCTAAATCCACAACCCTAAACCCTAAATCCTAAGCCCTTGAACCCCTATAGAACCCTAAACCCGAGACCCTAAACCCTAAAGCCTGAAAGAACCCTAAACCCTAAGCCCTTACAGATCCCTTCAAGGGTGCCTTTAACGAGCCCTAGGTTTAAGGCATATTCTTTAGGGGTCTCTGGGTTCGCTAAACTATGTTACCCCCTAAACCCCTATAGAGTTCCTGAACCTTAAACTCTAAACCCTAATGCCTTCTAGAGTTCACTATTCTGAAGATCCCTTTAAGGGACCCTTGAAGGAACCCTTTGAGGAACCCTCATAGAGTCTATTCTGACCTCCTAAACCCTAAACCCTGTAGAACCCTAAACCTTAAACCCATATAGAACCCTGGGCCCTGAACCCCTGCAGAACCCTAAACCGTAAGAGTTCACTATCTTTCTGGGGTGTAAAACGATCAAGCCAGGGGCACAAACTCACACAGCTTTTCAGCACGCGGCCGATTCCTGAACCTTCTAGAAGTCACTAATCAGAACCCTAAACCCATATAGAACCCTAAACCCTAAACCCCTATAGAACCCTACACCCTAAGAGTTCACTAACCCTGTAGAACCCTAAACCCACATAGAACCCTAAACCCCGATAGAACTTCTATAGAACCCTACACCTTAAGAGTTCACTAACCTGGCCTCAAAGGAGCTGCCCGGTGCCTCAGAGCTTCCAGCGCCGGACGCCCCGCGCTGCGCCGTGCAGTTGGCCCACGCCGAGCCACTCCTCTTGGTCTCCTTTAAAGGGGTCTATGAGGTTACTATGTTCCTAGGGTTCCTTTAAAGGGATCTATAAGGGCTTCTACAAGGGATCGATGAGGGTACTATAGTATAGGGTGGTGTTACTCAACCCTAAAGCCTAAACCCTAAACCTAAGTCCTATGCACTTAAAAAAACCCTAAACCTCGCAGGTTGGTTGCGGATGCCTGGGCCTCTTCAGATGTCAGCGACACGGAGCTTCGGATTCTGCGACTCTGGGCCACTGGCTGGCGGCAGGCAGCCATGACCGAGGCCTGTGGCGTTCGTCAGAAGCTGCCCGCCGTAAATCCTAATATAGAGGCCTGAATTAGAATAGGTTTCTGGGGTACAGTATGGTATACTTGTACTATAACAAGGAACCCTAGGAATCATGTTGCCAATTATTCCGGCACCTATAATACTTGGAGGATCATGAAACGTAGTAACCAAGTAATTAGGAGGGTAAATAGTACCCTGCAATTATAGTTCCTTGATTTGAAGTAGATGACATCATACCATGGTGCAACAAAAGCTGAGTTCAGTTTGTACAACATAGCAAAAGAAAATGTAGTATCATAGAATAGAGTATAGAATAGATGCAGGGGATCAGACCCATGGTTTGTACTTGGAGGGTCATGGGACTTAGTAAGTGAGGTAATAAGTACCTTAATGGGGTTATAAGTACTTATAAGTATAGTTACCTTAATTATAACCAGCAAGGTTTCAACATCAGTCATCCGGTCCAACACCTTTCCTGCAGACACCAGAGGGAATCGGACTCGACAATTCGACAATGCGGAGGGAGCGGCTTCTTCACAGCTATGATGGCGAGCGTGCGTGCTACCAACACATCTGCAGTCTCCACTGAGCGTTATTCGGGAAGCGCAGAGATTGCACAACAAACCAGGTCGTGGCATCATCTTGGACGAATTATCTGGAAAAACTGTGATGGATAGACTTGTGAGCAAGCGACTGTAAAAACTACGTTGCTCAGTTACAATGTGCTGCAAAGGGAAAGCAACTGGGTGCGTGCGCACAATGCTGCGCGCAATGCTGGACCGCATTCGCCGTGCTTGCTTCAGTAAAGTCTTGAAGAGCCTGATCTTTATAGTCCACGTTGCGCATGGCTGTTGCTAAGAGATCTTTGCGGAGATCATTCCGATGAGTTTATCTCCAAACCCAAACTCGAGCATTAGTGGCGTTTTTTTGTCCTGCCAGTGCTTCCCTGCGTGCAGGCACTCGAGTGGTACAAGATGCTTTGGCCTGCATTATGCGGAGAATGCTGCTGATATCACAAGATCCCACCCTGAACCTTCCCTTACCATAAAAGCCTTAAGCCCTAAACCCTAAAATGTCGACCCAGGCGGATAGAAAAAGAACCGCGAACAAGCCCTAAACCCTAAACCCGAACATCCCAAATCCCGAAATCTAAACCCCAAACCCGGATGTGGCCTTGCACTCAAAACTTAAACCCCTTAACCCACAAAGGCCCCTTCGAACCCTTCTTTATCTCCTTCACACCACTCTTACAACCCCTAAACCCGAAACCCGAAACCCTAAACCCTAAACCCTAGACTAAATCATAAGCCTCCTGATCTTAAAACACTAAGGTCCCATAGTAGTTCCTTTTTGGGGGCCACCTCATAAGATTCTAATTATGAACCGCCAAAAAGGAACTACTGAGATGGGGCCTTAGGGCCATTATGGCCCCATGCCCCAACTTCATCAAGACCTAACCTGCAGGCTTCCCCAGTAAATCCTATAAATCTCTAAGAACCTAAAGTTGTTTTTCCCTTGAAACCGTAGGATCCTCGGCCCTGAAAGGTTCCATAGAACCCCTTAGCAAAAGTTGACCGTCGCCTCAAAACTTAGCCCCCTAAACCCTAAACCCGAAACCCATAAGCCTAAACCCTAGACCTAAACCCTAAACCTAAAACCTAAACCCATAAGCCTAAACCCTAATCCCAAAAGAATCTCAGGATAGAGGCTGGTATCGACACCTCCGGCCTCATCGAGTCCTTCTTACTGCCGGAGCGGCAGAGCCCAAAAGCCCCAGTAAGGGTGCTGCAAGGGGTTCCTTTAAGGGTTCTACAAGGGTTCTATAAGGGTCCTACGAGGGTACTATAAGGACGCAAGGACTCCCCAGTAGTATCTTCTTGTCCTTTTCTTTTCTGGGTTCCTTCATAAAAGCTCTAAATCGTAGTAAAACGGGTACCCTTATTCTAAAGGGGCTACCGCGGAACTTAAGTTAAAGGATCTCTAAGCCCTCAGCCCTAAACCCCTATCCCTACGCCCTTTAGTTTTTATGGTGTTCTATAATCCAGTTCTGAATCCCAAAGAAGAACCTTTAGGTTCCCCTAGGATACTGGAGGTAGATCTGCATACCCCAAGCCCTAAACCCCAAACTATTAGCCCTTAACCCTTCTACCCCAAACCCAACACCCCTTACAGACCCTTACTTGGAGGATCATGGGGCTTAGTAAGTACAGTTGGAAGTATCTTTACTCGGGTTATGTTTAAGAGTTTCAAGTATAGTTACCGTATTCACATCCCAAGTTGCTAAGTTCCATCAAATCTCATGGTGCCCTTGTAGGAACCCTAGAACTAAACCCCAAACCCTAAACCCTAAACTCTAAAACCCGAAAACTCCTACGGGTTAAGTACTCTACTTGGAGGATCATGGGACTTAGTAAGTAAGGTTAAACCCTAGTTACTAAGTCCCATGACCCTCCAAGTACGGTTTAAGTACTCCAAGCCCCGGAAGGAGCGGCTGATCCCGGACAGGCGAGGATCCATTCCGAGCCGGTGCGCGGCTCAGAGCCGGATAGCAAGCTTGGAGGGTCGGGGGACTTAGTAAGTAGGTAGTAAGTAGACTTATAAGTACCCTAAAAGGGACCCTAATTGGGGTTATGGTACTTATAAGTCCTTCAAATATCCAGTGACTAAGTCCCCCGACCCTCCAAGCAAGGTCGATAGCTTCGGCGTTTAGTGGTTTAGGGGTTTAGGGTTCCTATCCCTGGGCATCGAAATAGCCCAAAAGCCCTGCACAGTATGGTCTTTGGGCCCAGAAGCCTCAAAATATGAGTCCTTAGATGCCCAGGGTAGTAAGGTACTACAAGATGTGGGAGTCTAGGGGAAAGCTACGATGTTTAGTGTGTTTTGTGTCATAGTTGGGTAACATTTTGCATGTTTATGGGTCCTTAAGCCCAAGAAGGAACATCAAAAGAAGTCCAAATTTTAAATACTGTCCTAACCACGGACTAGTTTTAGGTTGGTTTTGAGGAGTTTTCTGAGTGTAGGGGTTGGAGCGTTTCAAGGTCCATTTTTGTGCCAGGATGCGATGTTATGGTCCCCCTAAGCCCCTGACTCCTCGAGCTCAAACCCTAAACTTTCCTAAAGCCTCCAAAACCACTTAATGAAGGAATAGACCTTGAATCATCATAGGATCCCGAATATGATTTAAGGTAGATTCCTTAAGTAGGGGGTTTTGGATGCTCTGGGAACATTCCTAAACCCACAAAAACCTTCAACCCCTCACCTTTGAACACGCGGAGGAAGGCGTGAACCAAAATCAACGACCTAATTAAACCCTACGTCTTAGTAGCTGAGTAAGTAACCATCAAGCTTTTGGGGTTCATATAACCCTCTACCATACTTGAATAGGTTAGTCGTTTTTTGGGCTAGGGTACTCCCCTAAACCGCAAACCCTAAACCCCAAACTCTGAACGCTAAACCGTATATCGCAAAGCCCGATCCCTAAGCCCTATATATCCCAAACCCCAAACCCTAAACCCTATATATCCCAAACCCTAAACCCTATATCCCAAATCCCAAACCGCAAACCCTAAACCCTATATCCCAAATCCCAAACCCTAAACCCCATATCCCAAACCTTACACCCCACACCCTAAACCCCAAAACCCCTAAGCTCCAAGCCCTAAGTTGTTGCGCCAACCCCTAAACCCCTAAACCCTAAACCCCTGATTCCCTAAACCCCTAAGCCCCTAAAGCCCTAAACCCCAAGTTGTTCTGATGCCAGGAGCCTCTACTCCCGCATCGAGGGCCTTCCGAGAGACTTCGAGGCGAGAGTACCTGGGTGGCTGCTCCGGGATCCTTAAAAGGATCCTTAAAGGGATCCTTAAAGGGTTCCTTAAAGGGATCTATAAAGGGTTCCTTAAAGGGATCTTTAAATGGTTCCAAAGACTATACGGGTTCCTTAAAGGGATCTATAGGGGTTCCTTAAAGGGTTCCTTGAAGGGTTCCTTGAAGGGATCCTTAAAGGGTTCCTTAAAGGGATCTATAAAGGGATTCTGTTTAGGTTTAAAGGTTTAGGGTTTAGGGTTCCTAAAGGGATCTAGAAGGGTTTCTATAAGCTTTCTATTGCGGTACTACAAGGGTAGCTTCTCTAAATTAGGGTCCGCTTTAGGGTCCTTCTTTAAAGGGGGTCATGGGACTTAGTAACTTAAAGGGTTCCTTACAGGGATCTATAAGGGATCTATAGGGATTTAGGGTTCGGGGTTTTGGTTGTCAAAATTAAGGTCTCGCTTTGGGTTCCTATTATCATACAGCACCTAATATTCCCTTTATAGATCCCTTTAGGAACCCTGTAAGAAACCCTTATAGATCCCTTAAGGAACCAACCACCCATATTAATATAAATCTTCAAAGATTCGGGCCTGTGCCTGAAACCCTGCTTGGAGGATCATGGGACTTAGTAACTAGGGCTTCGGGTTCCTTTTCAAATTATTCTAGGGTTCTATAATAGGGTTCCCTTTAAAGGTTTAGGGTTTAGAGTCTACTCGGAGGGTCGTCGTTTTAAAGAAAGTATCTATACCTATTGTTGTTTAGAAACTCCCATTATTATGGTTCAGGTTTTAGAACCCCTAAACCCTAAACCCTAAACCCTAAACCCCCTAAACCCTAAACCCTAAACCCCAATTTGAATACTTATAACCTTATTTACTGAATCCCAGGATCCTCCAAGTAGGCCGGATCCTTGAGTTCAGGGTTTAGGGTCTAGAGTCGGGGATTTGCATCAAATAGTCTGATCTTTGAGTTTAGGGTTTAGAGTTTGGGATATGTGTGAAATAAATGGATCCTTGTAAGGGTGTACTATTCCCATGTATTCAAGACTCACGAAAGGGACTCTAGTGAAACATGTTCCTGCTCACGCAGACCCCCTTTTGAGGGTTTAGGAAGCCCAAACAGCCTATTTAGGGACCAGAGTAAGGACATCCCAAGAAGAAGCTCTGAAAAGGTAGGGCTCCGGTCTAAACAATCCCTACTATTTGCTTAAGAACCACCAAAAAATAAAAAATATATATTCCTTATGGGGGTAATATAGGGATTATTATTTTTATTTTTTTGGGGTTTCTTAAGCAAATAGTAGATCCCCAGACCCTAAACCTTCTTTTGTTTTGTGCAAGCCCAAAGTGGGCAGGGAGTCGGCTTAACAAAAATCTTCAAACCCCCAAAGCCCTTAAACCTAAGCCTTAAAACCCCTAAAACCCTTAAACCTAAACCTTAAAACCCCTAAAACCCTTAAACCTAAACCTTAAACCCCCCAAAATCCTTAAACCTAAACCCTTTGGGCGAAAGGCGGCTGGGCCTTCGGCGTCACGAGCACTGTTGAGGCGGCTGTTGGCTGCCGGCATCGACGAGGAGTTTAGAGAGGCGACTGCCCTGCTCTAGGGAAGCCTACACTAGAAACCTTAGGGTTTAGGGTTTAGAGTTTAGGGCTTAGGGTTTAGGGTTTAGAGTTTAGGGTTTAAGGTTTAGAGTTTAGGGCTTAGGGTTTAGGGCTTAGGGTTTAGGGTTTAGAGTTTAGGGCTTAGGGTTTAGGGCTTAGGGTTTAGGGTTTAAGGTTTAGAGTTTAGGGTTTAGGGTTTAGAGTTTAGAGTTTAGGGCTTAGGGTTTAGGGTTTAGGGCCATAGTCTCTCAAGCCCAATGCGCCAAAACCCCTGAAACCCCCCCAAAAGTTTCTGTACATACGAAGCCCCACAAACGATACACCCTCAACTCGATAAGACTGACAGGCCCCCCCAGCCCTACCTGGAGGGTCGGGGGACTTAGTAAGTAGGTAGTAAGTAGACTTATCAGTACCCTAAAAAGGACCCTAATTGGGGTTGTGGTTAAGTCCCTAAAAATAACCAGTTACTAAGTCCCCCGACCCTCCAAGTAGAGCCCCAAACCGCCAGACCCCCAATGTGTTGCAGGGGAAGGAGAGCCTGGTATCCAACGCCCTGGGAGACTTGGCGTTCCTCCTGGACCGCCGGGAGCACCGGCCCCAGGAAAATTTGAGAGTTTAGGTTAGGAAAATTTGAGAGTTTAGGTTTGGTTCAAAGAAAGGGCTAATTGAAAGGAAATCCAGGGTTTTGATCTATTCAGGGATTGTAGGGTGTAGGGTTTGTAGTTCAGGGTTTAGGTTTCAGGGTTCATCAGGGCGGAGAGCAGGAAAGGTGATGACCTAGTTTCGTCGGTTGCCATTAGGTGAGTTTTCCATATTTTGACTACTGCTGCTCCGGTGGTTGCAGCGACGACGACGACGGTGACTACTGCGGTTGCTATCATGGTTACTATTTCTACCATTATGCTTATTGTCAAGATTGTTCATACTTTCTCGTTGTTATTACTCTTATTGTCAGTATCATGGATGCTGTTGTTGCGCTGGTTGTTTGAGTTATTTGTTAACCATGATGTTTTCTTCGTACAAGTCCTGAGCTTATCCTTACTCATACAGTGTTGATCATTTGCCGTTGTGACACGAAGCGCCCTAGATCCTAAACTCTAAACCCGAGACCCTAAACTCTAGACTATCTGCGGAATAGAAAGAGGCCCTTAAAAAAGGCTAAACCCCAAACCCTAAACCCTAAGCCCTGAACAATAATAGACCCTAAGCCCTTGATCCACCCAGGTTTGTGCCTTTCTTCACGAGGAAGATTTGGTTAGGCAACGGCGGTGCTCCAAGAACGGGACGCGGAACGGGAAAGAGGTCGCTGGGTGTCATTATTTTATTGGTTGAGGGTTCAGGGTTTGTGGTTATGGGTTTGGGTCCCTGTTAGGGAATTTGATTTGCGTCAGCATCCTAGGGATCTAGAGTAAGTCACAGGGTTTCTGTATTATGGTAATCGACTTGAATTAAGTTCCTTAACAAGGACGCAGACATGGAAATCAAATCAGGGCTCTGGGTAAAGCATATGTAGGGTCTAAGGGTTTAGGGATTAGGGCTTCGGGTTGTGTGGTTTTGGGTTTATCCTTATGGGGATGCAGCACGGGACAGCGATTGAGACGGGTGCGGTGTGGCGGTACAGTAGGCTGCGCACGCAGACCACTCTTGAGGCGGGTCAGGTGCCCGATGTTCGACGAACAAGAAGACCTACAGGTGAGAAGATCAATACAGAAGCCGAAAAAATTGCCTACATTATTTGGCAGGTTCCTTATTGTAATTATAGAATAATCACCCCCAAAATCCATTCTAATTATTAAGACCCCTACAGTAGAAAGAGGAAGAGAACGCTGGCAAACAGCCCTAAACCCTAAACCCTAAACCCCTAAACCCCTAAACCCTAAACCCCTAAACCCTAAACCCTAAACCCCTAACCCTAAACCCCTAAACTCTAAACCCCTAAACCCCTAAACCTCCGGCCCGTGCGAGGCGATCCCTGAACCTTGCAGTGGTAGGAAAGCTGCTGAGAAGTACCCAGAGCCTCCAAAACCCCTTAATTAAGGAATATCCCTTAAACCTAGGGTTCCTTAAAGGGTTCCTTAAAGGGATCTATAAAGGGATCTATAAGGAATATACCTTAAAGTATAGTAGGATCCATAATATGATTTAAGGTATATTCCTTAATTAAGGGGTTTTGGAGGCTCTGGGTAGCAAAAGGGGCCCTTATAATTACCTGTACTCAAACCCCTAGACCCCTTAAAGGAAGCCCTATAGATCCCTTATGGATTCCCTTAAAGGAGCCCCTAAGCCGTGAACCCCAAAGCCCAAACACCTCAGGAGCGGTTTCACGGGAGGCCTGACTTTAAAAACTGAGCCCTAAACCCTACAACCTGAACCCTACACCCTAGACTCTACTTGGAGAGTCGGGGGACTTAGTAAGTAGGTAGCAAGTAGACTTATAAGTACCCTCAAAGGGACCCTAATTGGGGTTCTGGTACTTATAAGTCCTTAAAATAACCCGTTACTAAGTCCCCCGACCCTCCAAGTAGATTCTAGACCCTGAACCCCAAACCCCCAACACCTCAGGAGTGGTTTCAGCAAGCGCTACTGGATCCGATACAAGAACACCTTCTATCCGAACACCAAGCCGCAGCCTCAGCTCTGCCGGCACAAACTGATGAACTGTTTCCGCGTCTCTTTTTTTGAGCGTCTTCAGGGTCTTGGGCTATTTTTGATGAACTGTTTCTGAACTGTTGCCGGGGTCTGTTCTTTTTAAGGGTCTTCAGAGTCTTCAATTGTTGTTTAGTTTTACTCTTTTTGTTTTGTTGTTGTTTTTCCTTTGTGGTTTTTTGGTATTCAGTCTTCAGGGTTTTAGGGTGTTTAGGATCTGCGGACATCTCTGCTCCAAGGAAAATGGGGACGCCTCACTGCGACAAGAACGACTGAGGTTTGGCAGAGACGAAGGTCGTGCCTGGCTCTTGAGCCACCACATGGGTAGTTTTCCAAATTGGGCTCCCTTTTCGGACAGGTTTTACAAGGGTGCCGTGCTATTTTGGGGACCTGAAAGGAACCCCACTTTAGAGAACTACCCAAATTGCTTCCTGCAGTATCACCCCTGACATGAAAAGAAGGCTTTGACGACTTGCAGCATGGGCTCATTTGCATGAGGACTCCTGGAAAGTAGCAGCGTTGCGAGATGCCGTGCAACCTCTGTCCAATACTTCACTGCTCCTGATGTGTTGTGAGTTGTGTTGAGGACTGATTTCCGACTCGTTGCGGCACCATTTCTCCGTGAAGGAGTTACGCAAAGCTTGCATGTACCGTTTAGATGTGACCTGCCGCGGCTGTCACACTCAGAACGGCAGTGTTAGCAGCACGCAGCGGCAACTTCTCCGATCCTTCTCGAAAAGCCATGGCCAAGCGTACCAAGAAGGTCGGCATCACGGGCAAGTATGGCACACGTTACGGTGCCTCACTCCGAAAGATCGTGAAGCGCTATGAGATCCAGCAGCGGGCCCGGTACATGTGCACTTTCTGCGGCAAGGAGAACGTGAAGCGTGAAGCAGGTGGCATCTGGAAGTGCAACTCCAAGACGTGCAACAAAGTCATGGCTGGTGGCTGCTGGACCCTGACCACGGGCCCCGCTGCCACGGTGCGTGCCACTATCGCGCGTCTCAAGAAGCAGCAGGCCGGCGGCGTCGACGAATGAACGCCAGGCCGATGAGTGACATGAATGAACTGAGAGAAGCCAATGCCGACGCTGCAAACCGCATGCAAAAAAAAGGCGGCATGCAGGGGGTCAGACGCACTCACACGAACTCAACTTAAAGGTTCATGAGACTTAGTAACCAGGGTTCTAAAAACGAGGTAAGTATACTTATGAGTCTATGAGTAATTGTTTGTTCTGCAGCATGCCTTCGCCTTTCTTCAGTAAGGGCACTTGAAGAATCATGGGACTTAGTAAGTAAGGTTATAAGTACCCTAATTGGAATTATAAGTATAGTTACCTTAGTTACCTTATTCATAACCCTAGTTACTAAGTCCCATGATCCTCCAAGCAATGTCTGATCTTTCCGAGAGGCGCCCCTGGACCTGAGACAAGTCAAAGAGGCCCGGCTCTGCATATCCGGTGAGCGACGGTTCTCACTCCAAGTTTGGATAATCCTTAACCCAAGGGTTTAGGGGTTAGGGTTTAGAGTTTAGGGTTTAGGGTTGAGTCTAAAACCTTCTGAAGTAACGCCTAGAGCCACAAGTCAACCCTATGTCGTTTTGACCGTGAGGCTTCCACCCTGAACCCCGGAGCCCCAAAACCCTAACCCCTAAACCCTAACCCTGAAGCCTTAAAGCCCAAGGCTATCTCAAGGAAGTGGTGCCTTGATACCCTAAAGCCCGTTTGCCTAAATTTCTTATAGCACCCGTTATCGCAAGCCTTTAACGGAACCCTTCTATACTCCCCTCTAGATCCCTTGTGGGTGCACCTTAAAGGTACCCTCGTATACTCCCCTATACTTGGAGGGTCGGGGGGGACTTAGTAACTGGTTATTTTAAGGACTTGTAAGTACCCTAACCCCAATTAGGGTCCCTTTTAGGGTACTTATAAGTCTACTTACTACCTACTTACTAAGTCCCTGAACCCTAAACCCTAAACCCTATAGTACCCCGATAGAGCCCTTTAAAGGAACCCTTACAATCCCCTTTAAAAACGAGCACCTACTTACTAAGTCCCCCGACCCTCCAAGTACCCGACAGGATCCCTCGGATTCCGTAAGCTGCCGCAAGGAAGTGGTGGACCTTCAGCGGGCCCTTGAGGTCATGAAGGGGAATTTGGAGGCTCAGCAGAGCTATCCCTCTTGGGTTCCTTTGAGGGATCTTTGGGGTTTAGGGGGGTTTATGGGTTTAGGGCTTAAAGAAACCCTAATTCCTGAACCTTAAGGCCCTAGCCGCCCTCAGCCCCTGAACACTTTAAAGGGTTCCCATCAGCCTTGCGACAAGGGTTGCTTTCAGATTGAGACTTTTAGGGGCGTCGGGGGAAGGGGGTAGGGTACCATCCTCTCTTAAATGGGCCTTACTTGGAGGGTCGGGGGACTTAGTAAGCAGGTAGTAAGTAGACTTATAAGTACCCTAAAAGGGACCCTAATTGGGGTTAGGGTACTTATGAGTCCCTAAAATAACCAGTTACTAAGTCCCCCGACCCTCCAAGTATGAGACCCTGATCGACCTTATTAGGATTTTTGAGGCCCCCTTTCCCCTCACCGCAAACCCTAAGCCCTAAACCCTAACCCCCTAAGCCCCAAACCCCAAAACCTAGGGGTCCTTATGAGTTGCTACCAGCTTCCTGCAGGAATTCGGCCCGCAACTCGAAACCGTGAAAACCCGAAAACACCACAGCCCGAAACCACCCAAAAAACCCCAGGGTTTAGGGTTTAGGGTTTCGAGCCTAAAGTTCAGGGTTTAGGGTTTGAACCTAAACCCTAAACCCTAAACCCTAAACCCTAAACCCTATTGAAAGCCCTAAAGCCTGAAGCCCTAAACCCTAATTACACCCACAGCCTCAAGCCCTAAACCACTCTGTCTTGGGCTTTCATTTCGATTGTAGTAGAATATTTACGGGGTGCCTGATTTTCCTGAAAGGACTTGGGGGTTCCTTATTATCCCTCTAGCAGAGTATACCCCAAAACCGCCTTTCAAAAGTGTCTCCAGACACTCCAAAAACTTCTTGATTAAGGAATATACTTTAAATTACAATAGGATCCCTAATATGATTTCGGGTACATTCCTGAATCAAGGGGTTTTGGAGTCTCTGTGTCCGTTTCTCTGCTCCAGGCGGCCATTGAGGCCGTATCCTGTCAGTTGAGCGCTGTGACAGCCTGGGTGCAGCAGGACGGGACGACTCGTTTCGGGTTTGGGGGTTGAGGGGTTTGGAGCGCCTGTACAACACCTCGGCCACTACCAGAAATTCAGAATGCCTTTGCCACTTTCCGCGCCCTAGTCGTATGCCCTGTCTTTGAGTGAGCACACATGCTGAACCCGAAACCCTAAGCCCTAGACCCTCAACCCGTAAGCCCTAGACCCACTGCAGAACTTCAGCGGCGGGGCCTGGCAGGGCCCTTGGGTGAGCGCTCGGGTCTTTTGCGTACTGTAAGGGCCTAAATGATTACCTATACTATTTGGGGGTTCCTTATTATAATTGTTATATGATTATAGTATAATGGGCCCCAAAACCCTATTCTAATTAGAAGGCCCCTATATTATACGCCTGGCTTCCGCTCAGGTCACATCCGGCCCATGGGTCTTCCATGGGCCCCATCATGGGACCTGCCGGGTTCTCAGCATCACGGAAGAGTTGTCCTGTTTGAGTACGATGATTTCAGAATCAATGAAGAGTTTTCTGACTAGACCCTAAACCCTTAACCCTAAACCCTTAACCGTGGCTCTGCTATAGTATGGAGTTGATGGATGCACAGAGCCTGCACCTCAGGATGTGAGTGCCACCGTCGCAGCTCGCTTTCCTCAGCTCTCGCCGATCCTGGAGGATTACGTTTCGCGACGCTTCAAGCAGGGTCCAGATTTGGGACAGATCCCACTGTTTAGGGTTTAGGGTGTAGGGCCCCGCATGAAATCCTCCGAACGCTAGGCCCGAGAACTCGAACCCCGAAACTGATTATGATGACCAAAGAATCAGTTTCGTTCTCATGCCACTCCGACCTACGAGCCCCTTCGGCTCCGCTGCCATGCTGCATCGCATGTTGCACCCACACGCCGTCGTACTGCTAATTCATGTATGTATGTATGTATGTATGTATGTAATCTATATATCTATATATCCATATGTACATGAGGCTATCAAAACACATTATCATCGATATGTGCAATGTGTAGAGCCGGGCGCTTGACGATGCCGCATAGGCGGCATAGCCAGTTTCTGAAGCCGAGCAGTTTCCATGGAACTGAGCTGCTCTCAGCGAGACGGCGGGACCTCTGAGGACCCTGGGGCGTGCGACTGTGGTTTTCTCGGTAATCACTCGAAAACCACCGATAAAAACCGCATGATGAACCATAAAACCACAAAGCCATAAGACCCACCAAATTCAGAAAGACCCTAGTACCCTAAAAAAAACCCTAAACCCTAAACCCATAAAAATAGAACCCATGACCGATAAACCTTTCAGGGCTTATATAGGCCTACAAAAGTCCAAAACACCCCAAAACCTGAACCCTTCCCGAAAAAGATCCCTTAAAGGAGCTTCTAAGGAGCCAGGAGCCTCGAGGGTTCCTTTAGAGGAACCACTAGGGTTCCTTTGAAGGCCTAGGGCTCCGTTAAAGCGGAGCCCCTAGGGTTCCTTTAAGGGAACCCTAGGGCCCGCTAGGTCTCCTTTAAGCCTTTCTTCTTCCGGGTCTCCCTGGGCCGAGGAGCCGGCTTCTGGCCCCAGTTCGGCCTGGTCTCCGGGAGCTGCTCCGGGCCAGGCAGCAAACCTAGGGGTTCCTTTAAAGGGAGGTCTTTAAAGGGAGCCCTATACGGGATCCTTACGGGTAGGGTTTAGGGCTTTTAGGCTGTTTAGGCTTTTTAGGCTTTTAGGGTTTGGGGTTATGGGGTTTTGGTGTTTTGGGTTTATGGTTTAGGGCATTCTAAGCACTCTAAGTTGGGTACTGCCTGCACCCTGCAACAGTTGGTTAATATTTCATGGTATTCTTGGACATAGCCCTTGTCATGAGCCCTACTAATATAAACCCCTAAACCCTAAACCCTAAACCCTAAACCCTTCCAGCTCCCTTGGGGCGAGCTCTCGACAGAAGGGCCCATTGCAGCCAAAAACTTTGGCCCAGTTTTACCGGGCTTGTTATTGGGGTTCTATAGGGTTTAGGGTTTAGGGTTTAGGGGTTTAAGGGTTCTATGAGATTTTGAGTCAGTTTGGACAAGGGTTTGGTAAGGGTTTTTGGTGAGCCTG